CCTGAGAGGAATGTCAAAGCTATAATGATGGTATCGCGTCGCTGAATCGCGTTTTTAAAAAACGACTTACAAGCGATTTGATACTTTATTCTAATATAAATACAATGTTTCGACTAACAACGATATGTTAGCAAACCTAACCTAAGTGAGTTCAATTGAAGAGTAATAGGATTAAACTGATGCCTGAAGGGCACAACCATCAATATAACATAGGGTTGTTTACTAAGATAAGATATAAGTACACCGATTAGGAAGATATACGAGGGGCTCTCGCTATATAACTCTATGAAGAACATCTAATAAGGGCTGTGTCAGTTTTATTTTACCCTAATTAGATGCAGCCACTATTTTCACTAGACGCAGTCGTAGTAGTGACACAAAGGGCGCATGCGTATATGTCAACAGTGTCAAAAATGCCGTCTTCCACCAATATTGCCTGAATTTATAAGCTCTCCAATAATTTCCTATTGTTTTTCAGATGTTATATGATTTGGACAATGTACATACAACACAAAAAGACATGTCACTCATTCTGTAGGACTATCTGTCAGTGTGACTGTCTGTCCGTTTATCTTTGTCCCGTATGTTACTTGAAAAGTACCGCTAGTATTTTGATGAAATTCCCACACAGGGTTACTACTAAGAGCAGAAGGTGAGAGCAGGTGTTAAAATACATTAAGCTTTATTTGCTCCTAAATTGTTCAACTAAATAACCTGAAAACTAGAGCCTTAAAGCTTCAAAATGCTTTCTTTAAAGTCTAGATACGACCATTTTCTAACCGAAATACAGTGGAGATCCACTTATAAGGAACTTGCTTATATGGAAACCCGTATATAAGGGCCACCAATTTTAAGGTACCATAACTAACTGCATGTAAAATCCTGGGGTATTATAGACTCTCTTAAAATAGACCCTCGCTTATAGTGGACTATTTCAATCCATTATATGCAAATAAAGGCTGAAGAATTTGGGAAATTGATTGGAAGATTACCTGTAGGTGAGTTAGCTGTCAGTTGACAAGAACGTTACCAACGACTGGATTTCTCAAGTTTGGGCCCGTAATATCCAGTGATTATTCAGATATGAAACCGGGATAGTTTACAGAATTTACCAGATAAAACTCATAAATTAAAAGGTGAAACTTGCAATGGAGGGAAACTATCAACAGAGCTAATAACTGTTATGATTTGTGCTATGCTTCTGGTACTGAAAAATGGAAACTATTGATAATAGGGAAGTGAATGAATAGAAATGCATGTTCTAATTTTTTTGATATTCAATGGCAGTGCTGCAAAGAATTTATATCTTTTTTTATTTCATAGAAATTTAAGAATCCCAGGTGTTTCAAATATGTTAAAACAATTCATCAATTTTTTGAAAAATATTTAAAAAAAAGTGGGATGCTGACCTTGTTAAGAAAAATCGTAAAATTTTGCTCTTGATCGGTAACGGCCCCGCTCATCCAAATATTTCACTTAATAACATCAACCTTCAATTTTTTTCCACCCATCAGTTCTGCGACCAATGGACAAGGGTGTCATTTGGAGTCTTAAACAAATGCATCGGAAACATATGTTGATGAAAATTATGGAGCTTCAAGATGTCAACATTACCGAAGCTGTCTTCGGTCTGAACATAGCTACAGGCGGTTAGGCTGGTGGAACGTGTAACCAGAGGATTCACCCTTAACGAAAGTACTGGCATCTTGCTTTTGGATGTCTCAAAAGCATTTGACAAGGTGTGGCACGAGCGCCTCTTGTATAAACTAATCCAAAAGGGCCTTCCCTTTTTGGCTTCTAAGACTACTGAAATCCTTCCTTGAAGGTAGGAAATTTCGGATCACAATTGACAACGTCCCTGTCGACAACACGGCTGATTACAGCCGGCGTCCCTCAGGGTTCGGTCCTTGGACCTATCCTTTACTCACTGTACATCCATGACGTCCCTAGTCCCAGCAACTGTGAAGTCTATCTCTATGCTGACGATACTGCATTGGTGGCTCAGTCGTGGTCTGGTGACCTAGTCCATGACAGGCTGCAAAGTGCGGTGGAGGAAGTATTAGATTGGGCGGATCGGTGGCTAATTAAAATAAACCATTCGAAAACGCAGGCTACTGTACAAAAGGACGTCGCGGCGTTCCGTCTGAAGTTTCAATGAATGGACTTCGTATACCATGGGAATCCTCCGCTAAGTATCTCGGTGTCATTCTGGACAAAGGGATGACTTGGCGGAACCATATGGAAGCGCTAAAAACTAAATTCCAAATTACGTTTCGGCAGCTTTACCCATTATTATGTAACGGTCAAAATTAAGTTTGATTAACAAGATTCGACTCTATAAGGTGGACATAAGACCAGCAATGACTTACGCATGTGCGGCTTGGTGTTTTATTGCTAAAACACACATGCGAAATCTGCAGGTTCTGCAAAGCAGGACGTTGCGCACTATTGCTGATGCCCCATGGTATGTCTCTAACGAAACTCTACATAGAGACCTCGATGTCCCTTACCTAAAGGACTACATTAAGCAACAGGTGCAGCGGCGCTATAGCCTAGCGGAATCGCACAGCAACCCTCTGTTGCGTGAGTCAGTGGACTACACAGTCGAGCAAGTTCGCAAGCACAAAAGGCCGCGGCTCGCACTGTAATCAAAATTAACTCGTGAACTTAGAACAACCAAAATTGGAACATTTTTACACAATCTTTAGAAAAAATCAAATATTTTTAGACCATATCAAAATCTGTGAAGTGATTTTAACAATTCCTAAACGCTGCCTATCCTAAAAGATTCTCTTCTTCCCCTTTGCTCTCGTTCTTCCTTCTCTCCTTTCCTTCCCCTTTTTTCCTTAAAATTGTCTGGTTTCTGGGTTACCAGACCTGACAGACTTACAAACTGACACTGTGACTCAAGAGCAAAGGTCCCACGGACCGCTCTGACAACCAACGATGACTTTAAACCGAAGCTGTCACCATTTTAGATGATACAAATTTGCTTACTATTGCGTGGGAATTGGTTACTCCAGAAACGATTCGTAATTGTTTCGCCATGGTGGTTTAGTGGAAAACAACTGAAATAGTCAACGATTTTAATCCAGAAGATGAAATTCCATTAAGCGATTTACTGAAAATTAATAGTTTACTGAATATAGACAAATTTGATGAGTTGACAATAATTTAATAGCAACACAGGAATTGTTAGACTCCAATTTGGTTAGTGAAGGATCCGCTTATAACGAACAGGAAGACGAACTAGAAAACAACGATGATGAAGAAGAGCTTCCAGTGACAACTAAGGAGGCATTAGGCTGCGTGAAAAAGTTGCAACGTTATTTTCAGCAAGAAGAAAACAGTGCAGCCACACTTACCAAATTAAATAAAATCATGTTGCTGTTCTAAATAATTATACAAAAAACAATCTGTTCAAATGAAAATTAATAGGTTTTCTACCAAGCAAATTATGGGTTTTTACACATACCTACACAGTACGTAGGTATGCTTGTAATATGTGTATCAGATTCTGAAAAATGCAGATTTCAAAATTACCAGTAACTTTTCTGTATGTATCTTTATTTATGTAATACATGTTACACAAACACATTTTAAGCTTTTAATATGTTATTTGCTGCTTTTTTCATTAGAAAAGGTGTTTCTTTTTCATTATAAGCGGTAATGATAGAGAAAGATTTTCAACACACGCGTGGCGTATCGGTCGAACGGCGACGCAACGAACGTATACATACATATTTGCACAGAGTCCTATGTATGGATCTGACATCTGACTGGTCCTGGCTCATGCCTGGCTGATGTGGTTTATCAACCTTATCAGATGGTCGGTACTGTCGGAGGGTAGGGGAAAAATCCTAGATCGCGGCATTATGAAATGGGTGGGCACTATGGACTAACGGGGGGTAAACTGAGAAGCTAGAAGTAGATAGCGCTGGAGGTCATGTACAAGGTTGTAAGCAAAGATGTCAATTGCTGGTCAGTACATGTTAAAATACGTCAAAACTTATTAAGTATCATGAAAAATATCGAATCTTTCTTTTTAAAATCGACATGTTTGCTTTTCGCCTCTGTAACCTCAGCCAGCAGACAGCGCTGTTTTGTGCTCATTAGCAACTCATCATCGAGGTACATGTCTAGTAGTACTTGGAGACAGATCAAGTTGGGCATTGCTACCATTTTATGGGCCTGATTTTGTGCATTGAATTCTTGTTTATTTTTCCCGTGGCTTATTCTCGGAGAGGCTAATTTGTTCTGAACATAAATGAAGTGAAATGTCAGCGTTGCGTGGCAAACACATATTTAACTTACTCGAGGCCATTTTTTGTATGAATTATCATATTTTCGTTCAAAAATATAAAATTACTGACCAATCATCTCTACAATCTCATTCGCATAGAAGACTTCCGACGTTGCCAATTTTATATATTTCTAGCAACATCCTTATCTTGAATTCTATTGGTTAGTGTCCGCTACTGTTATGATCAAAATGTAACTTAGCTCTGCTATTGCTTTCTATCGTTGCAATCATACAACGAGTATGTGCAGACTGAGGTGTTTTAGTGAGCATTTTCGCTACTTTGTCGCTAATATTTAATAGACAAAATTTCAAAAACATTGTGACGTACAAAAAAACGTCTAGTCATCAAACATTCATCTATGTTTCTGGTATCCGATTACGACTACTGTGCGAATGCTGTTTCTTCAAACGAAAATGGCTTACCAAAACAATTTTTATGGTCGGAAATGTGGAAAATGGTGTAATAACAATAAACATAAGCATTTAACTACGTAAGATAAAAGGTGTCGTATATACGCTGGGTTCACACTATGGTTAAAAAAAAGCACGGTAATGGTCTAATACGTTTACAGTATATTACATATGTACAAACAATATCAGTACAGATATTTGAAATACTGCTTCAAATTTTATTACATTGTAAGGAACTAAAAACTTATCTTTAAACTGTAATGTGTCAAAAATTGTATATGTATGGAATTGATCATGGAAGTGGTTCAAAATTTATGTAATTGGGACAATACACATGTGATTCGAAAAATTCATTGACTTTGATTTAAAAATGTTACGGTGGAAATCCCTTCAATTAAATGTAATTACGTATTACTTAGGCTTCACGCTTTGAAGGCCGAAAATCTTCTTTATGACTTTCCAAGGTACGTATTTTTGACCACAGTTTCTCATTGCACATTTACGTAAAGCTCATTTCACGCCTTTTGACGGAGCAGCGGTGTAGTAAAAATTAAAATAGCTTTCAGGTCGTCCCAGAATTTGTTTTCGTATGCTTTACAACTTTCTCAAGATTTTTAAGGGTAATTAAACATTTTTGTATATTTAAATGTACTTTCATCGTTTTCGATTCCTTCAGTTTAGGGCATAGTCAAAAACATTATGGAGCTCAAACATTGTGTTACTTTAGCAAAAGACTTATCTTGAGTCATGGAAAACTGAAGAGAGTACCATGCTTTATAATCAAAGTGCCTCATAGAAGTCCTAAAATATTTTAGTTAGTTTTAATTTCGAAAAGGTTCTTTTAGGCGTTGCAGTTGTAATCTAGAGGCTTAAACATAGGAAACATGCTAGCTACTATCATCCAGCCGAATCTAATGTTTAGTGCTTGAAAATTTTTAATTCAGCACACCGCCTAGAACCTTGCATAGGGTTGTGAGAAACACATTTTCGTACGTGGGGACCGTGGTAAGCTAGGGCCCCGTATCACTGATACGCCTGCGTAATAGTCAAAAGCCGTGAAAAGAACTATAACAACAGCACCATCGAAGATACATTTGCAACTCAACCTTCTTTACTTTTTTAATATGTGGTCATCCCCAGGTTTTTAAAGCGTTTTGTAAGTAGAAAATTTAAAAAAAAACGCACTTTTCTGTAATAAAACGTCGTCCATTATAAGTTGGCAAGCAACAGAATAAATGCACTACGTCGTCATAGACATTTTCACCACAAACAGTGCAATCAACCATAACACTCAAACCACGAGGAATGCTCATCCCAGAAGCTGCACTACACGCGGAACCATCTGAAAACCGTATTCTACCTTGCCACCTCAGGAATGACGGGACTGTACCGCTCAAAGTACCACACGAGCAAATCGACATCCCCCAGATCAGCGGTTTGCTTGTTGGCTCCATGTTCTGAGAGAATGTAGTGGCTGTCGCCGCCATCGATTGCTAAGAAACTTGGGCTACGATGGTGTAATTCTTGGTGGGGTCCACGTCTTCGTATTCTGGAATCCTGCATTTTCCACAGCGGACTTTTACTGACACCACTCTGGACAATGTTGGTTTTGTCATGTCGTAGGTCACTCTGATACCTGCAGAAAAAGAAACGTCAAGCAAGTTGAGTCTAAAGCCTTCATTAAGGCCTTTATTTAAATTTAGAAAGGAATGGGTTCAAGTCTATTCGAAGGATTCAAACGTAATCTAAATCTGATTAAGTATGTAATGGCTGATACATTTAAGGATCATAAAATTCAGGAAAATATATGAGTAGACAAAAATAGTTCAGTCAGGAAGAGAAAAGCATCGTAGAACGCGAAAGTGTTACGTACGCTTAATATCCAAATATTGGTAAGTGTTAATAAAGTATCTAGACAAACTTTAACCATCGAATCCTTGATCATTTGAAGACGAAATTTCCATATGAACATGGGTCCGCAACGGCTTTGTTTCAAGCTAGAGCATATTAGCACTGAAAGAAATGATGTTGTTCTAAAAAATTATAAAGGAATGGAACGTATTTTATTTTAATTAAGTATACCCTGTGGTGAATATCACATGATTTATAGTTGTTTCCAGACCCTCCATGGACGTAGATACGGATAATGTTACCCAGTATTTTTTGAAAAATAGCATTACAATGATTTGTTTTGATCGCAATACTTTTAATATTTAAGCATTGTGCTTATCTAGACACCTATGACGTACCCGAAAACAATTGACTTAATTTATTTTCTCAAATAATTCGACAGCTGTCAAATATTTGTTTTCTTGTCTGGTCATTCTAAGACTCCAAGTATTTACCTAAGTTTTGGTGACCAATTGTCATTATGGTCCAGTACAGTAATCATCAAATGACAGATATGCATTTCATTTACGGAATGGCTCTACGAGCACGACTTTTGTATGGTGATCGGTTTCCACAACGCCCCCTGCCTAATGTACAAACTTTCATCAACATTCACGCTATTGCAGGAAGAAACTGTGCTTAATAAAATCGAAGAGGACCCTACAACAAGTACACGAAAATTGCGCATCGGCTAAATTTAAATCATGTAACGGTATGGCAAATTTTCTATATACTAAAGCTTCAAGATAACCAAAATATTGAGCTCTGAAAAAACTCTAAATGGGCAAGCCCACGTCGGCCTTCCCTCCTCCTCCTCCCCCTCTGAAAAAAGGTATCCAGTGTAAAAATCAGTCGCCGCGCGGTATGTAGGTTAACCTAGATTATAAACAGGCTTAATTTGAAAAATCGGAATCGACACATTCCTAGAACAATAACGCCCAACTAGCAAAGTAGTGCTATAAGCTTTTGGTAATAAAAAAACTGTTCAGCCGTAAAAGCTCTATATTGTTGTTGCCTGAACACCAAATGCTGGCTTAATGTTGTGTGGGAATGCAATTTGCTTTCTGCAGCATATTTGCTCTAAAATGAGGTGTTTAAAATATTCTTATAGCATAGTTATACAACACCTTATAGGACAAATTTTGAATGGTTGCATAGACGTTTGTACAACTATTTTATACGGCATATGTGCGCGGTAGTCAAAATAGTTGTGTTGTGGCATCCATGGTAACGTTTTATAAAACAAACCCGAGCCTTGTTGTTTTGCCTGTGCAAATTTACTACTTTAGCCAACAAATTGCTCCCAACGGAAGCACTTATACAACTGTTGTTTAGTAACTGTTAAAGGCTGTACATATGCTAAATATGTTGGTATACAACTTCACCATAACCTAACTTTCTGCTGTCATATTTTTGTTAAAATGCCATAACCAATGATTTCAGACAAACAACGCATGCATATTGGTTCAAAAGGTTTTATCAACTGTTCAAACAGAAGACATAGATCTGGTACAAATTCTGGGTAAATCATTCGACTCTGTCGGTATTTCATTTCAGACATTTGTCAAATTGTTGATAACACTTGCAGGCAACACCTAAATATTCTAATAAACTGAAGATAACATGGACGATGCCATGATTATAAACAACCACCAACCATATTGGGCAAACATTTATTCCTCTATTTAATATTAATAATTATGTTCCAGTTCGAAATTACAGATAGAAAGTGATAAACATTAGTGTAATTATGTCTAAATATAGGATTTGTGGAAGATTTGACGCAGATAAGTTCAGTTTTCCATCTTAAAATCTAGACATACTTTTGACCATTATCAAAATATGCATCAAATAAGAGCCCGTAGAAATGGCGTAACTACTTTGCACGATAATCACAATAAAATTTGCTGCGCAAGTAATTCAATAGCCCTATATCACAGTGTAGAAGTTTATCATATACCTGTGTATGAAATTCACAATGGCCGATATGTAAGTAAACAAGATCACTGTAATGTGTTAGTTATATATTCTTCACTTCGTCTATGCAATACATAAGAAATAGTTTGGTTGCAATAAAGTAGAATCACGTAACAGAATAGTTGTATAGTTGACAAAAACTGAATCTTGCACTGACGCAAATGTCCTATAGCGGCTGCAAGGGGGTTACAGTTTTGTTGTATAACTGTTACCTGCAGCCCTTATATAACCTCTTAAATGACTGAAGTGTCCTATTAGGTGTGCCCATTCCGCTTCTGTAGCTGTTCTAAGAGGGTTTTGCCAATGTTCTTACAGAATACAATGCTGTGTAAAGAATACTGTATAATCATTCTTGCCACTCTAATAGTGATAATTGTTAGGTGAGCGTAGTTATCGATTTAATTTCAGCTTATCGCGAACATCTTCCTCGAGTGTATTCAGAACGTCGTCCTGGATGTTTTCATCAGAGCTGCTTTATATTGTGCAAGAGTTATTTGGCCCAAATTCATGAGGAAGTAAGCAAATTCGTATTTATGAATCAACTAACGTCAATTTCAGACAGTATTTACTAACAAAACATTTGACAGGCAGTAATTGAAATTCCTTACCAAATGGATAGTGAGTATTTCTCTTTAATTTTGTTTTGGTGCTGTTTTACCGAAAATTAGCTTTGTTATTTCGAACGTAGTCGTTTTCTAAGAAGGAAAGTCTCAACATTCAGCACACTCTGTATGAATCCATTGAAGCATTATCTGGATGACATACATTTGGAAATTTGTACGTAACATTAAATGGAAAATAAGAATCATCAACTGACCTGAAACCTGCAGGAACTCTCCCCTGGAAGTTTCGCCATTGCTCCTAGCCCCTATCTCCAAGGTTTTCACCAAATCTTCGCCGCTAAGGCTGAGAGTGACTATTGAGTTACCGAAAGGCATGGCTCCTAAGATTTCCCCTCTGGTGACTGCTCCGTCCTTCCCCGGCATTATAGTAGTTCGAATGCTGCCACCATTCACTACCGCAATAGGGGCACTTGTCCAAGTGTCTGGCGATACTGTCGCTATGTACGCCACCTGAGATTTATTATATTTTACAAGCTTTTACATAACCTGACCTATTTTTAGTATGTGTGTTAAAACTGAATTTTGATCCAGTTAGCCTTAACCAATTGGGTTGATATGTGGTGTACTCGTACGTGTGGATTGCGTGGCAATACAGATTGAATTAACTGTCGCCATTTTGAATCCAATATGGCAGATGGCGCAAAATGACGTTGCATCATTTCCATAGTAACCCCTATGATATGGATATCAAATGTGACGTGATTCTAGTCAAAACGGCGGCGGCCGTAAAATGTCGATTTATAATTTTTATAGTCATCCCTGAAATCCAATATGGCGGTCACCGCGGAATGACAATTTACGTTTTTCGTAGTCACCCCTATGATATACATAAGTATCGAATGAAAGGGGTTGATGAGAAAAACACAATTAGTATAGTAACGTTATTCTGAATCCAACATGGCGACCGCTTCAAGATGGCGTATTTATTTACCGTAATAATCCCTTATGATATAGGTGTAAAATTAAAGGGCTTGATAAGAGAAACATAACAGGCAACGTGACGTCATTCTTACTCAAATATGGCGGCTGCCGCAAAATGGAGTTTCTTAATTCCCATAGTCACCGCTATGTTATGAGTATTAAATGAAAGGTCTTAATGAAAGAAACATAATAAGCAAATAAAATTCCATATGGCCCCAAAATAGCGACTTGTCATTATATGATTTATATCTATCGGAATTTTATAATCAAAGTAAGAATATCCATTGAGACCTATTATACAGGGTGTTTCAGTTTATTGTTGCATAACTTTAAGATTCGATAGAACTTTTAAAATTAATGCATAAAGTCTATATAAACATAGGTCGAAAAATGCGTGGCTTCCGAAATACAGGGTGTTTAAATTTACTTTCTAAAATGGTTTTTTTAAATATTTCGAACAATATTTGATGTATAACAGTGAAAATTGGTATACAAGGGTTTTTTGGTACGACAAAACGAACCATGGGCATAGTTTTACTGTAGCCGTTAGAGGGCGCTCTCTACTGTACCTGTAGTGCATTAAAATGACCGAAAAATTTTTCTTAGTGCAATTTTTTGCTTTTGAATAAAAAACTGATTCTTCGCCTTTTCAACATAAAAAAGCTCTCTTGTGAATTTTGTTATAGTTAGCCGTTTTTGAGATATTTCGATTTTTAAGGTTCGATGCATTTTTAATTATTTATGATAAAATAACGTTAAAAAGTCAGTATCTCGATAATTTTTAGAAGTAGGCTGTGCCTGCAAATATTTTTGAAATTGAAAGCAGAATAAGGTTAAACGTCAATTAGTTGACAGTTAGTTTTGTTGTCTGTTGAAACCTGAAACGTTTTTTTGCAATTGTGAATGCACGAAATTTAGTTTCTTTTACCGTTTTTTTTTGTAAGTTTTATAAAAATGCCATTTTTATTCTCCAATCAAGAGTTAGCGGATATTCATTTTGTGTATGGCTTTGTAAATGGAAACGCAGCAGAAGCAGCCAGAGAATACGCACGAAGATTTCCAAACAGACGACATCCAACCGCTCAGTATTTGTAAGAGTGCATCGCCAAATAATTGAAAATGGTTTTGGAAATCTCCAAAGGGATCAAAACATAAATGTTCGTCAGCGCAGATTTACCCGTATGATTCTGCGAGAGATCCGACCACAAGTGTTAGGAGAGTTTCTGGTGCCTTGGGAATTTCAGCAAGCCATGTTCACCGTGTTCTTAGAAATGACCATAGACGTCCTTACCATTTGCAACCTGTGCAAGGACTACAGCCAGGGGACGGAGAACGAAGAATCACATTTTGTCAGTGGATTCTTGATAGAACTGATAATAATAGGGAGTTTTTAAGTAACGTTTTATGGACGATGTCATGCTTCACTAGACGTGGAGTGGTAAATTTTCATAATCAACATATTTGGTCGCATGAAAATCCGCATGCAGTTCGGGAAAGAAATTTTCAGCATGAATTTAGTGTGAACGTGTGGATTGGTATCTACCGTAATCGACTATTTGGACCCTACCTTTTGCCTGCAAGGTTAAATGCTGCGACCTTCTTGGAATTTTTAAAGGCTGAACATGCAAATATGTGGATGATGTTATGTTAGATTTAAGAAGATTGGCCTGGTTCCAGCTTGATGGTTGTCCAGCTCATTATTCGAGAATAGTTAGAAACTGGCTGGACGAAAATTATCCAGAAAGATGGATCGGCCGTGGAGGACCAGTCGCCTGGCCTCCACGATCCCCTGACCTAAATCCATTAGATTTCTGTGTGGGGATTTCTAAAAGAAAAAGTGTACCAGACTCCCGTAACCACAAGAGATATGCTAATAGACAGAATCAGGAATGCATGTGATGAAATAAGGCCTTATTTGAATAATGCTATACCACGTTCGATCATTCGTAGATGTAATTGTGTATTGAACAATTGGGTTTACATTTCGAGCAACTACTTTAGATTTTGTATGTTTGTCCTAACTATCCAATAGCATTTTTTAGTAAGTAATTAATTTAATTTGTTAAAAATAATATTGGAAAATTAAACAAATTAATATTCTGTTTTTTGTGTTTATTTGGAGTTAGGAATTATTGCTGTGTTTAAAAACACAATCTAAACGATCATCTTAATTACTTGTAATGCCAAATCGAAAATGTAAAAAAAATATTATTTTCCCATAAATAATTAAAAATGCATCGAACCTTAAAAATCGAAATATCTCAAAAACAGCTAACTATACGAAACTCACAGGAGAGCTTTTTTATGCAGAAAAGTGCGAAGAATCAGTTTTTTTATTCAAAAAGCAAAAATATTGCTCTAAGAAAAACTACAGTAAAACCCCTTGTATACCAATTTTCACTGTTATACATCAAATATTGTTCGGAATATTTAAAAAAAAAACTATTTTAAAAAGTAAATTTAAACACCCTGTATTTCGGAAGCCACGCATTTTTCGGCCAATATTTATATAGACTTTATGCATTAATTTTAAAAGTTCTATCGAATCTTAAAATTATGCAACAATAAACTATATGAAAAGTATATAGACATTTTCAAACTAGTTATTTGACATGTCATGAATACTCAAAATTAAAAAATTATGAAAATTAAGAAACACTAGCTTCTATTTAACTATTGGAAAAGGAAGTTTTTTTTCGCTTTCTTTTCATGGTACATCTCTGAAATTATATGTGCATTATGGAAGAATGAAACGGGTGATTACTTTGATTCTTATCACTTATTCTATAAGAAAAGATAAGAAAACAAGTGATCACCCTCTTCATTCTTCCATAAAACTGGAATATTCACATACAATGTTAGAGCTGTACTATTATTTGTTAATAAGTTATGATTAAAGGGTCATCGATATACACACCATAACACAGTCAGACGAAAAGTATTTAGAATACTCCTTCAGGCGGCTGTTAAATATTTTTTCCGACTGGAAATATTTAAACGCTAGTAAACTGCTTCATCTCAGGGTTTCTAATAAAAGCGCGTTACTGTTTTGACAGTAGAATAGAAAAAAGGATGCAAGACACGTTTACATGAAAACTAGTTTTTTAAAATATATTTTTTAATGTATTCATTATAATCCAAAACTCGCGTGCTTAATACGTAAAACATCACAATCGCACAGTTTCTATTGCAAAAATCGCACTGTTCATGAAGCCAAAAGCCGTGATCACCAGCTATGAAGGAATGACGCAAATGCCATTATGCTGATATGGGCCTAAATCACGACAACCCACATTTCGCTAGTATGATTTGTGGGGTTTCAGGTTCGTGGGATACTATTAGAATAAGATGACGGAGAAAATATTACCGAGTAAAAAGATCACACTTCGCTGCTTATCTGTGCAGTAACATTAAACAAATTTATTTGCCACGTGCAATCAGTCAAACAAAATTCAGTAGGCTAGTGCGAGGTTGCAGGGTGCTGATTGGCCTATTCACAAGGACGGCGTAATAACACGTCCCCGGTAATAAAAGACTGGATCAGCTCAGCTCACGTCAACTAACTATAGTCTTCGAAAGAAATATTATGTGTAACCACTGAGTATTACCAACTGGTGGAATATATTGAGCAGTGGCGTGTCAAACGAATTCGGAATAGGTAAAAAGTGCAAGCACCACGATTTGTTTGTAACTAAAATTGCGTAGTCAGTAGTCACGATGCAAGTTCATACTACAAATTGATCAGGCTTAAGTCGCTGGTTGTTGAGATTTCACATTAAATTCGTACTTTTTCTGAAAATACATTTGCAAGTGCATGGGTTCCATACAATCTTAGTTGCCGAAAGTGGTACAAGTTTCTGTGGAATGTAAGAAGCATTGTAAATTGATTAAGAGCAAATCTAGTTATCGAGTGTTTATATATATAATCTTCGGCCGTTGCGAAAAGGGCATGTCTTTCAACATTGGGCTTTTACCAAGAAGTTGCAAGGTAACTATGATTTATCCCTGTTTATTAACAAAAACTGAGCAATCGACATCTCAACATAGACAGTATGCCTTGCTCTATGTGAGTACACACATTACGAATAGCTGCTTGAATATCCTTCCAAATCAGCAAAAGTACGCATGAAATTTTGACGACAACATTAAAATGTAATCTTGGCTTCTTTCAATTTAAACAAATTCGTTGGATATGACAGGTTTCTGTAAACACCGACATATCGCGCTTAATTACAGAATACGGCTCTGGCTAGTCTGGCCTAGCCCGCCACGCCTGACATTGTTTACATCTACAGCATCTCGAAAATGAATCTAGTATAGCGTTGTTTATTTACCATAGCATCAGCGATGAGGTTTCCAAAGTTACACTCCTTTTACGGCATTCATCACCTCCCTCCAAGGTAACCTTCGACTGCCCAACCACCAGACTGTTTACCCTGTTGATCTCAGGTCGGTAGACCTCAAGCAGTTGAAGTACGTCCTCATCTTGGTGAATTGAAGAGCCGAGCAATTCCGGTTGGCCGGAATACTTGATCAGGTCACCGTCGTCGTTGAACGTCAGGTTGAGGCGACCTAAAACAACATTTATTTTCTAACCAAAGGATACACAGTTACCATAAGAAGAACCGATCCATCGAAAAAACGTTCTGCCGCGGTGGCTGAGGTGATATATCTGGTGGCTGCAATGCTACCTGCCATTTGGATGCGATCACCCATTCATTACCTGCAGTAATAGCTCAGGAATATCTTAAAAACCATCCGGAAAAATATTATGATTAAGTTTTTTGCACAACCTTAATAGAAGAGAAAAACAATTTTTGACGCAATTCTACATGCAGATCCATTAAAAACGGTCTTTTTTGAATGAGATTATGCGAAAAAAATCATCAAAACATATTTTCAAGCAGATGCGAAGATACTTCCTGTACTATAACTACCCAGGTAGTCGATGGCCGGCCCTCGGAAGTGGGTCGCGAGTCTGTTGGATGTGTACAGGGCGATTCACTATAACAGTTGGTGCTACGTGCCTGGATGCAATATAAAGGAAGGAAATGGTGTACCGATGCTTTGTTAATGATTTTAAGCAAGTAATGTTACGAGTATTCCAGCATATTTGGAATCCGTTCTTTCATACAGAAGCTAAGCTAGAGGTGTGATTGACAAAGGAAATCCAACCAAATGTATCTATGATTCATGGGTGTAGCAGCGTTAAAAATGCAATGTCACAGAAATGTGATGTGTAGCTTTACTTCTGATTTCCAAAATAATCCATGATCAATTTTTAGGCTTGATAGTGATTTTTCGGAGCTTCGTTGACCATGTTAACTGAAGGAAATATTTACAAAGAACTTGGTTGTGTAAACAACGTAGAACAACAACTGAAAACTCACACCTGTAAATAGTTTTCTGATCACTTTCTTTGACTTATACACAAGCCTGCATTTATTTTCAGTTCAAATATGTTAACCGGACGGTTTTCACTGCCGGCCAAATGAAGCAAATCCTAAATTCAGAATATTAACTGATCTATAGATTTATCGAAATAAGACAGAACAAAGCGCCATCTGTTACCAGAAAAAGTGACAACAATTCGCAGTGGTCGATGGTAACAGATGGCACTTTATAGTGACTCCTCCTGTTTGACAGTGTCTCCCACCACATAGGCATCTCGTCACTGAGGATAGTACTCACCACGCTAGTAGCTCTAACGCATTTTGCAAAAGTTGCATAAACTGAACACAGCCTGAATATAGAACTCCATTGTTCTTGCGTCGAGATGATGTTGAATTTGGAATTTACGCAACATATTTACACAGGAAACAAGTTTTTGTAGAGATCAGCGTTTTCACTTGATAAGCGAAAAACAGTACGCTACTAATTTTTACCAAAATACAGCATCAGAATTTTGAATCCAGATTGATTTTACTTAAACTGTTTCTTAGAATGTTTCGTTCAGGGGCACTGCTTTCGAGAGAAAAATTATTTCATTCGGTCTACTAGTGACATATAAATCCGAACACCCAGTTTAAAGGGTTTTATTTTAATAAAAGTTGGTGAATGTATTTATCTTACTGTAAATAACAAGTGAAAAAATTTTCAGCCTTATCAGTTGGACATTCCGGTTTTTATACTGCTTTTTTTTAATTCACTAACGCTCTAAAATGAATATTTCAGCCGCAGTAAAGAATCAACGTTGGCGGATTTTGGTTCTTGACATCCTTTACGATCGGTTACCATGCCTAGAGTACGGAGACCTGTACGATTTCGTCAACTTAGTGAGTTTGATAGGGGTCGTATAGTGGGACTTCGGGAAGCTGGACTTTCTTTTCGGGCAATTGCAGTTAGAGTGCAAAGAAGTGTAGACACTGTGGTTAGGTGTTGTCAGGCATGGCTTCGAGAAGGCCGTACGCAAAGAGCAAGGGGCACTGGACGCCGCCGTAGAACAACAGACCGTGAAGATCGCCGCCTAAGATTATTGGCCTTAAGGGACCGTTTCTCCACTACCAGGTCCATTGCAAATGAATGGTTTGCAGAACACGGAAGACCTATTGGCATGCGAAGTGTTTACCGACGAATGAGAAGTTTTGGCTTGTTTTCATTCCGGCCACCCTGGGTCCTCCCTTTAACTCGAGAACACCGACGTAATCGCCTTGAGTGGTGCAGACAACGGTCACTCTGGGATCAGGAATGGAACAGTATTGTCTTTAGTGACGAGTCTCGATTTTGTTTAGGCATGCACAATGGTCGTGCCAGGGTTAGAAGGCGACGTGGTGAAAGGAGGAATCCACAGTTTTTTGTTGAAAGACATGTTCATCACACTGTTGGAGTTATGGTTTGGGGTGCTATAGCTTATGGTTCCAGGTCATCTTTAATCTTCATCAGAGGTAACATGAACGCGCAGCGTTATATCCACGAAGTTCTAGAACCCCATCTTTTACCCTATCTTGACACCCTGGCAGATCCAACTTTCCAACAAGATAATGCCCGACCACATGTTGCAAGAGTCACAATAGACTTCTTTCAACATAATGATGTCACATTGTTACCATGGCCACCAAGATCTCCCGACTTATCCCCAATTGAGCACGTGTAGGATATGATGGGTAGGCCATTGCTCAATTTGCAACATCCTCCTCAGACTCTAGAAGCACTTCGAGAGGAGTTGGTGGTTGCCTGGACTGAGATACAACAGGAGGACATTGACCACCTGATCAGAAGCATGCCTAGGCGCGTTGGAGAATGCGTAGCACATCAGGGTGCATCCACACATTATTAAAGGTCAAAGGGCTTTAAAGCAGTGCAATCATTTTGAAATTTTTATCATTTACTTATTATGCTTCATTAAGTACTTATACAAAATTTTATTAAAATAAAACCATTTAAACTGGGTGTTCGGATTTATATGTCACTTAGTATATTTGGTCTAGGTTCCTCTTATTTTATGCCTTGTGTGGTGATTGTGTTTAATTTGTCGGTCATTATTAATAAAGCGAGAGCTGGTAAGGTATGGTATAATATGTGTTTGATGTATTTAATTTTTTACGAAACATATATAACTCTTTATAATATATGAACATGCCACGCAAGTGTGGCTCAGGTATTTTATATTTAATGCTTTATTATTTTCTGATTATTTACGATAAAGGGGATTATTGTACAATTTGGTGTCTAGAACAGGAACAAAATGGTAAAAAATCAGTAATTAATGCTCAGTTTTTTATTATTAAGCCACTACATAATGTTGACAATATAGTCGGTTAGAAGATATGAGTGCTTTGGCAGCTACCTGAGAACTGTGAAAGAATTGTGTACAATATATGGCTTTATAGTTTTGAACAGAAGCTAAAGGCATCTGAAGCAGTCATGGCGCTACAATTTCCTTTGTGATAGACTGAAGCACAACTTGGCAACATGGGTGGTACGACTGTTATAAGCACAGGAACGTCCTTGCGATCAATTCCCGCATTTCAAATTCCGCCTATCAGGTTGTAGGTTGTTGGCAACAACCGAGAGAGACTGAGACACACACACCATAGATATTATGGGAGTAGCCGACTCTCTAGTTACTTGTTTATCTACTATACATTGTACACTTCTTCCGTTACATTGTGCATTGTTATACGCTAGATAAAAAAGTATTGTAAATATGAACTGGCTTTGTTTATCGCTGTACATAATATACATACGCAATTCGTGATTTGCAAGGAAAGTGGACTGTTTGATAATATTTCATCGTCGTTTGGGACAGCCATTTGGATCACTTGTTGTCAACCCCGCTTTGCAAATCTGCACATTGTAATGTCTTAGCTAGCTCAACATACACAAATCACAATAGATATTCCTGGAAGACCTAGATTTTATTCTTGAATATTTTTGAATTTTCTAGATGATACGTGTTTCTATTGTCGAACCTAGACGAACTTCTACCTGAAATATCTTTCAATGAACTGTTTCCGTTTTCCACCAGGTAGAGGCCAATAAATGACCTTAATTTGTCAATTCTACTAAGAAAGTATTTCCACATAAAAGTTACATTCACGGTTTAAATAGTTTGATTTAGGACCCATTTTAGAAAGCTTGTCAGTTTGATGATCTTTTGGGCCAATCTGAGAAGCCCATGTAACACTATCAAATATTGTGCAGTCCATTATTCTTGAAATTCTCATATAAATTGTGAAAAGCAGTATGTTGGATGAAAAGGCCACTTTCTGAACCTTACGACCAGTTATATACAGGGTGTTCCAATATTCAGAGGACATAAAAGTACCATGTATTTTTGGACTCGTAATATTATACGTATATACAGGGTGTTTCAGTTTATTGTTGCATAACTTTAAGATTCGATAGAACTTTTAAAATTAATGCATACAGTCTATATAAACATGGGTCGAAAAATGCGTGGCTTCCGAAATACAGGGTGTTTAAATTTACTTTCTAAAATAGTTTTTTTTAAATATTTCGAACAATATTTGATCTATAACAGTGCAAATTGGTATACAAGGGTTTTTTGGTACGAGAAAACGAACCATAGCCATAGCCATAGTTTTACTGTAGCCGCTAGTGAACCTGTAGTGTATTAAAATGACCGAAAATTTTTTCTTTCTTCGCACTTTTCAACATAAAAAAGCTCTCTTGTAAATTTTCGTTATAGTTATTTTTGAGATATTTCGATTTTTAAGGTTCGATGCATTTTTAATTATTTATGATAAAATAACGTTAAAAAGTCAGTATCTCGATAATTTTTAGAAGTAGGCTGTGCCTGCAAATATTTTTGAAATTGAAAGCAGAATAAGGTTAAACGTCAATTAGTTGACAGTTAGTTTTGTTGTCTGTTGAAACCTGAAACGTTTTTTTGCAATTGTGAAAGCACGAAATTTAGTTTCTTTTACCTGTTTGTTTTGTAAGTTTTATAAAGATCAACATATTTGGTCGCATGAAAATCCGCATGCAGTTCGGGAAAGAAATTTTCAGCATGAATTTAGTATGAACGTGTGGATTGGTATCTATCGTAATCGACTATTTGGACCCTACCTTTTGCCTGCAAGGTTAAATGCTGCGACCTTCTTGGAATTTTT